CTATTATCCCCTCAATTTTATTTAACGGTTCGAAGAAGAAGAAGAAGAAGAAGAAGAAGAAGAAGAAGAAGAAGAAGGAGGAGGAGGAGGAGGAGGGGGGAGGAGGAGGAGGAGGAGAAGAGAATCAAACGTCAGAACAACGTAATTATCCTGAGCACTATGAGGTTCCTCGTGCCAAGCGTGAGCTTGACATTGTGTATACTTTTAAACGGTGATCCAGATTTTAGACCAAACAATGCGGTAATAGTTTACTTTCTCGCGTCTAATTCCGGGGAGGACTTCCGTATAGGGCCACCACTCTGAACTCTATGAGAATAGTATACTCACTCAATGTCCATCAAAATCATTACAGAAAGCCTTTAAAGCCAATATAGTATGTTATTACCTACAAATGAGGACATTGCCGTGGTTTACATATTCCTAACTCCAGCGCAAAGTTTTGAATATCCAGTCGCGGATGCATAGATTTTTGTCTAGATCTAGATCTAAAAGCGCCGCCGGAATTAAACGCAAGAAAGTAAACAATTGCTAACAATGCTTCCTCCTTTGTAGAATCAACAACAGATGGCAGTATCTATCGTTTTCTCAATGAGCATAGATGAAAAGCATCTTTCGTTGGTGACAGAACATGATGAGTAAATGGAGTACCATCTTTTTTTAAGGGGGGGGGGGGGAGTTAATGTTTTTGCACGGAGTACGTGCCATGAGGAAAGACTGAGCGTTTTGAGTAAATAAGAGCTCAACTAACAAAGAACTGTTGGATTTCTTACACCCAGTCACCAGATGTAAGGTGAGTACATGTTTTACTGTACAGTGGCCTCAAAAAGAAACTTGAAAATGTAATCACCGAATCATCGTGTTAAAGCCTTGCACTACCCACTCATGCAGTATGCCAATTTAAAGCTAAATAAATCCTGCATCTGACACAATAATATTTCACTTATGTTCAGAGATACTCGAGATATGGTCACTTAAAATAATTAACCTTAAAATCTCTGGCTTGGCGAAATCAAAGAAACGTAAAAGTGTGTTCGCTCGTGTATTGAGGTTCATCAACGTTGGTGGAACTAATATGTATTGAATATCAAATGAAAAAGTAGTATTGTCTCTGCAATGAACAGCATCTACTGAAATATATTTTCAAACAAGTTAGAAAACAGATTACTTACAAATACCATGCTGAACGTAGACTCAACATTGCATGTGCTCATTAGTACGATTTTGATTTTGTTTAGGAGCTATTTTGGTCTTCTTGTAGAGCACAAACCTTTTAGCACATGGCTGTGTAAGTTAGATTTTGGACTAATCACATGTCAGTGAGGAGCAGAGGCCATGAAACTGCCATTTTTTGGGGTGGTCTGGGACGGAATAAAAGTTGATTACATCGTGCAAGTGTTGGAATGTCATGTCTTACCTTTATTTCCCTCATGGTGTCATTCAAATAGACATCTCCATTCATGGCAAATCACTTTCTCATTTGGCCAATATTTTCACGAGACAATTCTTGGAAAACTATACCATATCAACCTTGGAGTGGTCACCAGTAAATAGCCCGATATGTGAAATCCCATGAAACAGCTGCTGAAGGAAATTGACGTTGCTCCCAGTTCAAACCCTTCGTTTGCAACCGTCTGTGACATCTGGGATGAAATGACTGATAATTGTTCAAAATTTAGCAGAGTCGATGCCCTATGGATTCGTGCACTACATAAAACCAGTGGCTCCTACGCAAAATAACAATGAGCACATTTAATGTTAAGTCCAAGTTTTTGTGTTATTTGTCATTGCTCTGTTTTCTGTTTTGTTTGAAATTGAAACTATCGACATTAAATATTGTTTATTGCAGAGAAACAAAATCTCCATTCTTTGGATATGCAATATTGTCCATTCTATCAATATTGATGGTCCCAATACACGCGCGAAGACGTTTCTGAGATTTCGAACAATTTTGCCAAGCCTGATTTTTAAGGTCAATTTTGAGTGATCACATTGTTATCTTAAGCATCTCTTAACATAGCTGGAATATTATTTCGTCAGATGAAGCAGAATTTATTTAGCTTTAAATCGGTATGATGTATGAGTGGGTAGTGTAAGGCTTTAACCCGATGAATGGGTGATTGCATTATCAAGTTACTTTCTTTTGGAACCCACTGTATAATACACATGAGGGTGTGTTACACCCAGTTGTCGGTCAAAGGGATATAAATAGGTTACCGTGAAAAGGGTTAATATGTAAAGCCAAGGTTACTCTCAGCGATAAATCGTATTACATTCTTCGTATAGTAGATCTGTCAGATTTTCTAACTCCATATTCTGTTTAAACATTAAAATGTATAGTGTCCAATTCCCTTTCAACTAGGGGAGATTCCTTCTTCTTGCGCCAGATGACTCTTCGAAACAATTTGCCTGCATTCTGTGTGTTGTTATTTAACAAACGTAAAAAAAGAGGAACACGAAGTTATTAGTTGCAAAATTCTAATGACACAAACTCTCCCTACGCCCTCTCTTAATAATTTGTTATCGTAGTCTCAGGACATAATCGTCCACAGACATTCGAGGGATCTGTAGGCCTCTATATCTCAATAAAGAGAATAAAGCTGGCATTCCATATGCCCGAAAAACCGATGCGAACTTCGGGTGTGAATTTCGTGTACAAAATTCGGGTGCGAAGAAAAAAGAGCCCTCCTTCCATATACGCGAAATTCGCATCCGTCATCTGACTGAAATCACGGCACCAGTTCAGTCAGAGCAAGCACTCTACATTGAAAACAAGAGAATTTTGCTGTTAGAACTCCTGTTCCTATGAAAGCAGCTTTAAATTGTTTTGTCCAGACTTGATGATGGTCCTTCCTTCATAAGCTTTGCTTTCTTGGGTCGTTTTCTTTTTGAAGCTTCGGTCCTATCACCGACAGCGCTGGCTGATGTGGCTGTGGCACAGACAGCAATCTTAAGTTATAATTCATGTATGTTAGAAGTTATATTCAAGTGCATTTAATTAAGGATGTAAGTGAAATGCTATTTTTAGTTATTACATGATTTAAACGATAAATGATAGCATAGATAGATTACATAGACTCCCGAAAGTTTCCCACAAACTAAAAAAAAAGTGGTTGCCATGCAAATGACAGCCACCTTGAAAATAAACACTTCTTTTCAGTCTTGGTTTTAACACTTCTCTCTCGAACCAAGGAAATCAACATTTCGATGTTTTCCCCACTTATCTTGTGCTTCTATCATGTTCTATGCTGCTTCGTTCCTTTGAAGTAGATTTGGCGGGAAATAAGCCCCGCCCACTTCACGAAGAATTCGCATGCGAAGAAAAAAGTTTCGCTCCCTCGTGCGAAACAAAATGTTCGCATGCGAATTTCGGACTCAGCCATGCGAAATTCCGGCATATGGATTCACCCAATGACAAAAACGTTGGTGCGAAAAAAATAATTCGCAAGCGAAATTCGCACCCTAAGTTCGCATCGGTTTTTCGGGCATATGGAATGTCAGCTTAAGTGTCTTTCGACCAAGTCACTATACTGTACACTGTACAGTGACTGTGCAGTAGTAGATAGTAGATATCTAGTGTGCAGTGTGTACTGTGTAGTCCTAACAGCTTTGACGTCAGATGCACTTACAACGCACTGGGTGACCTTGATACATAACTTTAGATTGAAAATAGACAATTGAAAAACAAAGTTTGCTCCAGTTCTAAAATATGGCATCAAATCAGGTTCCACGTGAGCCACTTGGCTTATTTTGATACGCCGATTTCTAAAATGAAATCAGTTTTTAGCAGCGATAATTATTTTGAAAATTCTGCGCGCCAAGTTAAATCCCGCGCGGCGGCAAACTTCAAAGGAATTTTGCGTCACAGCTTCTCACTTGTCACTTCACACTGGGGGGGGGGGGGGGGGGGTGTGTGTGTGTGTTTTTGTTTTGTTTTTGTAAAGTGTTTTACGGCGCTCGCAACTGCATAGGTCATATGAGCGCGCGGGACACACCTAATATTTTCAGTTGGTAGGAATTTTGAATTTTGCCCGGGTGGCGGCCGAAGCCTACTCTTATCGATTTTAGACCACCAAGGGATCTTTAACGTGCGCAACTTGCACACGGGCCCTCCGAGATTTTTCGCCCTTGTCCTAGAAGGCTAGATGTAGATCTTTCCTACCAGAAGATCAGGGGTGTGGCAGAAAGACAGCAGTAAGGAGGGGCCAAGGAGTAGCAGTAGAAAGGCTGCAGAAAGAGTCAGGAGCCCAGAGGAGGGGGCAAAGGAGGTGAGGGGGTGGGGGCAGAAAGTGGAAATGAAAGCAGACAACAGAACATTGCTAGAGAGCAGGAAAGGAGGTGAAAGGAGACAATTTTAGAGAAGAAAATTTTTTGGTCGCTACCCGGATTCGAACCCGGGACCTTTGAATGAGAGGCCAACGCCTTAACCTCTAGGCCACGAGAGCCCCCTGTGTGTGTGTGTGTGTGTGTGTGTGTGTGTGTGTGTGTGCGTGTGTGTGTGTGTGTGTGTGTGTGTGTGTGTGTTCTATTATACTGTTGTTTGTCCTCTTTATGATTGGAAAATACTACAAGATGCTTGGTAGAATCTAGATCTATATAAAATACTTCTTTTTGTGATCTTCTAAATCCAGAAAGAAAAACGGTCACCCGCGAGTTATTTTGTTAATTTGGACACACTGGTTCCGAATTTGATATTATTTTTACGATTAGACATAGTTTTAAATGTTTATGGAAAAATCGTTTTGGCGGGCCGCGGGTGTATCGATACCATCATCAATACCATCACAACGAGGTATTCACTTGGGGCAGTCGCTGTTCCCCGGACAAATTTTTTCCTGTTTTTAAAAATAGAGTCGCTGTTCCCCGGTGCTCCGTTGATGTCCGCACACATAGAGGGGCTGAGGTAGGATCGGAACCATTTCCTCTGCATTGCAACAATCAAACTCAAACTAAAAAGACAAGTGAAGACAGTCACCAAAAAACGCTTTGATTCAACAAAACTGAAAAAGCAGCGAACAGAAACGACATGCGAGAATTATACCAGATTACAAAAAGACTAGCTGGAGACTTTGGAAAACCATCAGAGGAACCAGTAGAAAAGAGAGACGGCACCATGGCAACAGCTTTAGAAGACAAAAAAGATCGATAGGCGGAACACTTTTAAGAGATTTAATAGACCACTCCAAACAAATGAATTCAACTTTGACAAAGTACAACCAATGGAGGAATTGAACATAAATACTGACAAAATAACCATGCCGGAAATTTTAACAACAGTCATGAAAATGAAAAGTAACAAAAGTCCACGAGAAGATAGAATTACCGCTGAGATGCTTAAAACGACTGGAAACGAAGGTTATGAGATATTACTTTTGCTATTTAAGGAAATCCTTGCCCCTTGGAATGGAGAAAGGGAAATATAATAAAACTACCCAAAAAAGGGGGACTTAAAAGACTGTAGCAATTGGAGAGGAATAATGCTTTTATCAGACTCTGGAAAATTATTTTATGCTATTATCTTGTCTTGATTCAGAACAGCAATACATGAGAGACTAAGAGAGGAACAGGCGGGTTTTCGACCAGGGAGATCATGTACAGATCAACTGTTTGTTCTGAGAACAAAATGCTCACAGGACAGATTTGGTCCTCGAGCCATAGTTTGCCCATGCCAGTTTTAAAGCATGCACTGAGATAGTCTTACAAACAGTAACACTAACCTTAACCTCTGCCAGCTCCCCCTCTAAGTGAGATATCTGTGTAGCTCCGATGGCCGCCTGAGCATTGCCAGTGGCTATCTGCTGCTGTACAGTCATGCTGGTAATAACGCCTTTATTCTGGAGCTCAGAGTTTTTCAGTTCCAGTTCTTGCCTGTGAAGATTGCAAGTTGTTGTTAACTGCAAATCAGCGCTATGAGTCACATTTTGTACAATATTACAAAACACATTATGACTTCAATTATAGTGCAAGCTTTACACAGCGGATAAAATACCGTCCAGATCGCTCACTTAGTTTTTCTTCCCCGGTTCCTCCCCGACCATCCTCACCACCCTGCCCGCCCCGCCCGACAGCCCAGCGCGTAGTCATAAATCACTTGTCAGAGGGGTTAATTGGGGTGACCGCAGCGCCACACCTCCTGTGCCGGGGCAGTAGTAAATATGGCGTTTTAGTGCGAATTGAAAGCCTCCTAACTCTGAAACTATAAATGCTACAAGGCCGATTGAGATTTCATTGTAACGTGCTATGTTTGACCTGTAAGCCGGTATAACTTGTTTTCTTGTAAGTCCGATTATATCAGTTTTACAAGGGATTTAAGTAAGTCTGTGATTTTCAAACTGGCATCTTCAATGCTCAGAACTTTTCCAGTTTGGATTTAAATATTTCAATCCGGCCCCCAACGATTTAAACAAAAATTCATGTATCAACTGTGGTGACAGTTTTAATTTACATGTGCAAGTTTCAAATGCACTAAGTTATTCTATGATTTTCTGTGATTTAAAAAATGTACAGCTGGCACATGATATAGATGTACAGCTGGCACATGATATAGATGTACAGCTGGCCCATCAGTCTATGGAGAATTGCATGCCTGGAATAGGACAAAATGTGCATATCTACGGCAAAAAATGAAAGAGGGCTGAAAAAAACCGAGGAGGACATTCAATTGTTACAAGGCTGTCAGGTTTTGTCAGATAATCCACGAGAAGCAGAGAGATTTGAGAGGGAGGGTTCTAGTGTACATGATCAGCTGTCAGAGTTAGAGTTTGAGGAGCTTATTCCAAGGTCAAGTCCTGCCTGCTCTGAATTTGATAACATCCTCAAACAACACAACATCACACCACAGGCCTACCACAGCCGTTCATTTATGGGAAACCACTGCCATAAATACTTCACAGCCCATGTGTACAGACAGCTAGCATCATTTTTAACAAAAAGAACAGTTGCATGTACACGAAATCAAAGCATAATAGACACCGCATTAATTGTTCTGAGAGAGAAATTTGTTCACATAAAAGACACCTTCAAAGATATCCACACAGTAATTGCACATGGAAAGCCAATCACTTTAGAGAGAATACCACATATTCAGTCATGCATCACACGATATATGTCTTTATACAGAAACATATTTTGGCAAATAAAAGGTCTTGAGTCGATAGTGCCGTAAAACACGTGCTACTCAATCACCTAAACAACACATCCTTGAGAAACACTGCGTTCCTTGGATACAAAAATGTGGGTTTGGAATGGCCTTCCATGGTGAGCAAGGGGGTGAGCTCATTCATGCAACCGTGGCCAAGCTGGAAAAACGAGTAGCAGCAATAACAGACAAAGAAAAACATGTCAAAACAATCATGCAGTCACAACACGTCCAAACCCACCCAAAGCTACTCTGTCGTGTGCACCACCCATCAAAAGACGAAAGCTTACAGCGGAAAAATGAGATAATTCCTCCAGTCCAGCAATATTGTGTTCTTTTTGTATTTTGTGTTTAGGTTGTGTTTTCATAAGTGTATCGGCAAGAAAAGATCTGTCCTGTAGTTACATGTATCGTGGATTTCGCTATGAAAAAACAAGGTCGCAAAGCAAGAGTATTGCAAAAATCAACTTCAAACCTGAATAATTACGGATCCAGAAACTTCTTGCATATGCCCCTTTGTGAGTACAAATTTCATTATGTTCTCAGTCCTGTGTGCAAATTTGATTGAATTCGTTGGGGGCAAACACATTTAAATTGATGTTTATAATTGATTACCCATGACACATTTATCAAATTTAAGTCCCCTTTTTGAGAACTTCACAGCTTGTAAGTGTAATGTACCATGGTCTTCCGATTTCTTCATTTTCTTCCTTAATATGTTGAATATTTACGTGGTCTTTATTAAAATGTTCATCTTACATTAGCTTTGGCTCACTGTGCTGGTAAACTTTGCAAAAAATACAAGAGCGCTGCCGGTGTTCGGCTGATAAGGGAAATCCCCGGCGGCGCAGGTAAATGACCCCGTGACCTGGGGAAGCGCGGGCTTGCTTGCCTCGCGCCAGCCGAAACTAAATGGGCGCTCCTTATCCGCTGTGTTTAGCACTTTTGCTTTATAAACATTTTAAAAAATCAGACCAGCAAAAATTCTAGCCCTGAGAATGCACATATATATTCCTGTCTCAGAATCCAGATCCCAGTCTCCAGCTCTTTATCTAGGTCAGCTGTCATAATGGAAAAAGGACGAATATGGTAACATCCAGGTAGCATGGAACTTCTTTCAGGAGCAGCAAGAAACGTTTACATTTCCACTTAAAACTTTTCTATTTTTTATTCTTTTAAGCTACAATTTAGCAGAAATTTGGTTAAGAGGGCCATCAATCTGTTTTAAAGTCTGCACTGTTGAGACTGAAAAAAACATTTATCGTTCTACTTTGGACCCCACACTCACAGGTGAGTCTTGCTTTGTATGCCAAAATGACCAAAGGTACAGTGGAACTCTGATTCAATGAGGCCGCTGGGCCTGACCTAAAATCTAGTTGAATCCGAGTGTTCGTTATAGCAAACAGGAGGTTTTGTGTAAATAATTACAGGCACTGAGCAAGTAATGTATAAAGAGAAGTAACAAGTGGTGCTTGAAATGCCTGCATATTATGAGCTGTGCAAAAAAAGATTGATTCGTTCAAATGCACGCCTGTGTCATCTCGATTGTTTGCCAAAAAGTTGTGTAGCTGTGTAGAGCCTAGCATACCGCAACTTTTGATTCCATAGACCAGCACACAATTCATTCTGTAGATTTACGTAAAGAGTGCATTTATTTAATCTCCAAAGATCCGTGATGTGTGGGTATCTTCTACGGAAAGCAGGATCTCTTCAGTAACTGAGCATTGCAAGATTATTTGTGAACAAAGAAGAAGCTGTCTGCATTGATGTGACAGTGACCATGTGCCATTTGTCACCTTGGCTGTTTTTGCCTGCCAGCACAGACCAGCTATGAGGAGGAAACGCTGAACGAGCACTGATCCTTGACCAATCAACCATTTGTCATTCTCACAAGAGTAAGGGAAAAACGATGATTTCTGAATAAAGTAAACAACAAACAAGACATGGCAAAACCAATGGTACCATAAGGCACTGTTCTATAAAATATGTAAAATTTGAAAAATTGAAAAATTTCGATAATTCGTTGTTTTTCTTTTGCAATGGAAGAGGTAGGCTCTACCACTTTTCGTACTTTATGGAACATGTTTTTTTCTCATCTCAGCCATGTGCTCTGTGATTATTTATGAACTCTCTGTTTGAAATGACTTATTCTTCACATAGCAGATCATATGTCTAAAACAAAATCAATGAAAGCCTTTAGAGTGTTTCCTATCATTGTTATTTAATCTTTTAAAATCAGTCTATGATCTTTTTTTCAACGGTTTCTGTTCACTTGAGCATGTTTCAGTGGTCAGTATTGAGGGAAAGGGTCTTCCACAGAGAAAATTTACATTTCACAAAACAAAATTATCTTCAATAAGACTGGAGCACAAACATCTCAATTTCAGAGCATTGATATACCTCAGATTTGTGAGCTCAGATGTTAGTCGCTGGTTCTCCTTGAACATGCTGCCCTCGGTAACCTTAGCCTTGCTCTGTAGTCCCTTGATCTCCTCATAGAGACGTTTGTTCTCTGCCTGGTAGCCAGCTAGTAAGTTCTCCTGCTCCTGCACTTCTCGCTCTAGTCGTGCTGTTTGACCTAGATTGCATGTGATTTTTATATCATAAGGCTCTATGGAAACTCTGTTATCACTTGGCGATATTTCCAAGAATAAGATAAAAAGACTACTATGAATTATACACTCATTTCTGATAGGATTGGGCTAAGAAGGTGCAGTACCTAGAACTCTCTCCAACAACCCAAGTTCACAGAGTCCCCTATCCCCCAAAAACATTCAAACCAAGGTCATCCACATCATGGTCCAGCATGATACTAATTGAACTGACGGTAGGCCCATTATTTTTCTTGGCTGCGACTGCAGAACCAAAATGGAGAAACTGATATGCCACTGGATTTCCTAAAACATTTTCCCCAGTGTTGAGGGGTGTAAATAAAAGAAAAAAGTATACCTGCATAAAAACATAATGTCTCAGTCTGGCACAAAGACCAACTGTGCTTATAATATAGACATTACAATGGTCACATGGTTTTAGAAAAAAACAGACATGTTCGAAAGACAGACAAGCTGCAAGTGGCACTTTTCAAATGCCTACATGCCAAAATCAAATACCATGACGTTTTTGAGGAGAGGTAAAGTGTTGGACATGCAGTTAAAATTAAAAGCTGTGATTGCAACGACATCTCCAGGATGTGTTATCAAAGACATGTACACTAAGTGGTAAGCGAAAACTTCAACCCAACTACATAAGTTACAGTAAATCATAATGATAATTAGCATTGACAGCATTTATGTTGCGAATTTCTATTTTCAAAAAAATGTTCAGTGCACATTACAGTCAAAAGGATAATACAGTCAAACCCCATTATACTGCCTACCTTGGAACAAGCATGAAGTTGGTGGCATAACAGGGCTGGCAGTACATCAAGATTTTCTTGTTCTCTGTTAAATACATGTGGCACCGACTGCCCAACATCAAGGGAACTAGTTTACAAATCACTACATGAAGTATTGAGTTATCTCCCTTCAATTTGTCAATTAGACTTGAGTGTAAGCCTCACTAAATAAAAGTCCCACGGGCTGATAACTGGCAGCACCATATATTTTGCCGGGGGGGGGGGGGGGGGGTCCTCCAGGCGATTTGAAAAACAAATTCCCATTATTAATAAAAATGTTTTTTAAAGTATTGACAAAGGCCTAAAAATATAAGCATTTTCATAATCAGCGCATCAAATTATCAAATTTGTTGGATGGGGAGGGGGTTTGATGCTGAATTACAAAGTAAGTTATGTTTTTTTAAATTTTAGGCCTACTCTTCTACATTACACATTGTATTGCGTTTGCTTGTGACACACTACATCACTGTTGATCTATCCATACTACCTGAAATCTACAAGACAAAAGGTCTGGTGGTGGGATGGGCGGGGAGGGAGCAAATCGGCAAAAAGCGCTTGATCTAGACCAAGGCCTAGCTCTAGGGATGCCAAATGATTTTTGAACAAAAAAATGAAAATGAGCGGAGCATCACATCTCACCTAAAACAAACCTTGCAAACTTTTAAATGAGCACACAAAAACATCTCTCTTACTTCTCCCCTTTCCTTTGCAAGGGTATGAGGACTTTGTTTCACAAATTCCAGTAATACTATATCTGTCTTGAGAAGAAGGACCTTATGTCAGTGGTCTTGTTCTTCGGGGATGCCAAATGATTTTTGAAAAAAAAACACCTGAAAAAGCCTGAAAAACCTGAGATTTGGCATCCCTGTAGCTCACAGAGACTTGTGTGTGAAAGATTGTCACGCAACCACCGAGTGGATGTGCCATGCGCCATGAGTTGCCTGGTGTGTACTGTGTATTTCTGGCAGTCAGTTCCCTGACGGTACAACAGGGTAAATATACAGTAATTAGTAAGGACCAAAAAACTGAGATAGTTGGTGGATGGCAGTGTAAAGGTACAAATACTATGTTTAAATCGGAACTCTTTTTGTACAGTGGCAAAACCTGGCGGAAAGCGGGGCTGGCGGTACAACGAGGTTTAACTGTACATTTTAAAGTGCATTGTAACCCAAATTTCTTCATGTCTGTAAATAATAATAACAGTAAAAATGAAAACTTTGGTATGAGACAGTGACAACGTTTACTTACTTTCTTGGGGGTCTTCACAGCTGCCCTGGACAGAAGAACCTTCAGACATCTTTGCTTTGGACGCCTTGTCCCCCTCCAGTTCTTTCAGCTGGAAGAATATGGAACCATAAGCAAGGCTTCAAAGAGTAATTCTGTACACCAGGTCTTCTTTGCTGGCTCTTTTTTTTTGTATGTGTTTTGCTAATTCATTTTCCTCGAATGTGTTGAATTCACATTTTGAGTCGTTCGTTGTCAACTTAATTTTGCCAATTTCTTTAACAATGTGAAAATTGTGAGTTCAAGGCATGTGTGAAAAAAAAAAAATCAGATTACAGTATGTTAGAAGAATTTGGTGAATTGAACTTACCTTGGCAGAAAGCACAAAATTCTCTTGTTTCAAAGTGAAGACTTCATCTTCATATTTGAGTTTTTGAGAACTGAGTTGTTTTTTTAACTCTTTCTCTGTTCCTGTTGCATCAGCTGTCAAAAAGTACAATACGTAAATCAAAACCAAGGCACTGTATGGACATTAGCATATAAGGTGTTAACATTTATAAAATATATGTTAAAAATGAAGGGTTGATTTCAGAGTATGAAAGACAATTTTGTTAAGTATAGTCAAATCCGCTCTGACAAGACAATTACCTGTACAAATGACCAATTCCCACTTCCCCCTTGAGTTGTTCTTTATTATAATGAAACTGTTCATGAAGACCACCTCTCTGAGGTAAACAGTTTTCTCCTTGACAATAGATGGTCATTTTGCACAGGTTCGATGAAAGAAAAAAAAATCATAATAAAGTCAACTAAAATATCTTAAAAATACAAAATGTTCCTTTTTCCTTGCTACTACCACAGTGAAGTATTCCCACACTGAGATCTCAGCACCTTGAGCTTTGGTATTCTTCTGTCCAGATAAGAGCTTGAAAGGTTTGTAATCAAGAAACAGCTGAGTCCAGTTCTAGACATGAATCATTCACATTCAACAAAGACTGAACCTCCAAATACAGTTGAAACTGTCTACTGTGGCCACGCATTGTCAACGAGAAAAGTGGCTGTATGAGACAGGTGGCCATCTTACTCAGTGTCATTACAATGAAAAGAAATACACATGGAAATGGGAAGTGGCTGTTTGTACAGGTGATTGTCTTATATAGCTGACCATTAGAGCAGGTTCGACTGTATAATATATTGGTGATCAAAAGAAAAGCACCACTTTTTGATTGGCAAAAAATTTAATCTTTGAGTCTTTAACACTTTTCCTTTCACATGAGTAGTATGATCTGAAAAGTAGGTCATTGTACAAAAGCAACTTTTGGTGCTTCAGTTAGTTGGTGCTTCAGCACCCATGTGAAAAATGTAAAAATTAGTATTTTTCTCCGACCATGTGGCAGATTTTTTCTATTCTTAGGGGTCTTTTTTTAAAGCCGCATTACCATATTTTGGTCAATGTCACCCAAGAAAGATGGTACATTTTACTCAAGTTCAGAAAAATGAAGCCATCGGCATGCTCAGCACTCCTTTTGTGAGAACATTCGACATAAGAAGAAAAACTATCAGTCTTCTGAGGCATTGTGACTGGGCCACTTAAAGACTGACCTAGAACTGGATATCCAAGGGGAATAACACCAGCTCAAGACCAATACGGTAGGCCTGTGAAATCATTTCTGGACAGCTGCTAAAATCACAAGACAATTTCCTGAACTTTGACCAATCAGGGAGCATACTGTTCGTCGCAACATTTTTTTTTTTTCAATCCAGAAAAAATTTGATTGTAATAGATCCATGGCCTGCCCTTTCACCAGATTTGAAACCAATTGAGCACCTGTAGGACAGGATTGATTCTGTTGTCCTTGACATGAATCCTGGTCCCAGAAAGATTTTTACAGCTGCAGAAAGCCTTCATCAATGCCTGAAACAACATTTTTAAGGTAAACTGTGTACTTTATGAGCACAAGATGCACTACTGTGTTGAATGTACATGGGGATCACAGGGCATACTGGTGTGCAAACTTTTGGATTTTACCCCTGTGGTCAAATTTCAGTTATAATAGAGATGTATTTGCTTAAAAATAATCCTTTCACCTTGATCTTCCTATCAAATACATCAAACAGGGTGACCCCAAAAAAAATTTACAACTTTTTTAAACATATATTTTCATCACAGCGTCACTTTTCGCCCGATTCTGTTACTTTTAGTTCGCGTGACTCAGCAGCCCGCCGGAGCTCCCCTGCTCGAGGTCATGGGGTTAATGAGCTCTGAAGCGACTTTGCCGGTGTCGGTTAAGAAGTTCGCATTTTTGACTATGTTCAAACCGATATAACTTCTTCCCCATCCCACATGGCAAACCATTACGCGGATGTACTAAAAGCTCAATGTCTTGAGATTTATTCTGCGTTAGAATGGTTAGTTTCTGTGCCTTAGTTTTTGTTCTAGACAAGTGTTTGTAGAGTACCCAATTTGTCCTACTTTAGTTACAAACTTATGAATAAATGATTGTTAATTTAAAAAAGGCACGACAGATCTCTCCAAAATCTGTGTTAAACTGACTACGAATACCATGTCTTTTACCATGAGAAATCTTAAATCTGCGCGAGTAGAAATAGTCAAGTTATAAGAGAAGAAAGATGCACATCTGCATTTTTTAACTAAAGACGATCAGCGTTAGCTCTTATTTTACTATTAAACAAGAGAAATTTACTCTGCGTTTGTTCATGAATCATGCTGTGTCTGCGGCAGCCTGCATACAACTAAAAAGATAATATAATATATAAGCGATGAAAAAAACCTCAAAACCGTGTAAATACATGGGTAGAGATAAAGTTCTAGTATGGAATAAAAATAATGACAGCTAAAACATTCATTCTTAGTTTTTGTGTAGGAAATATGCGCGGACACAATTATGAATGTAAAGAAATCAGTCACATTGTCAGTTATTGCAGATGGTCATAGAAATGTTTAAAAAAGCTGGAAAAGTCTGGTGCTGATTCAGTGTCCCTGGAAAGCTAGAAATTATTCTTATAACCCAATTACGAGAAGTCATCCCTATTATTCAGTCAACTTACAAAACCTAGACTTGGCGTGTTAAGAAAAGTAAGGAATTTCTGGAGTGTAACAGATACTGTTCATGTATTAGATCTACGTTGAAGATATATTCTAGCACTAAAATCGATTTGTACTTTTCATAGAGACACTTCATGGTCACTTTTATAAACTTTCGAGAAAATATGCGAATATTCACCATTATATTAGACACATAAAGTTGTATTTGGAGGAATTACTTCATAGCGAATTGTGTGCCCGATGGATAAAATTGCAAAATTACAGCCTTCTATTATATGCGCAGATACCATCTTTTCTGAGTATCTGCACCAATGTTATGTCGTTCATGTTCCAAAAGTTCGACAGATTTTGACGATGCCTTTTTTTTATACTGATTTTTTTTCATTCACGCTAGTCAAAAAAAAATTACAATTTGGCATTGCCGACTCCAGCGCGTCTAACGAAATAACCAGACAAGCTACAACGTCCGTTCTTTTTTGAGTCTCAAGAGCAGAAATGCTTGCTTTGGGTGCACTAAATGAGAATTACCATAAATAAAAGGATACACCTTAAATTGTACGTTGAAAAGTACCAAAAATTAATTCGGCCCAGACAGAGCGGCGACAGGGAGCTGACCCCCGTGACCCCGACGTGATAAGGCGCCTGGCGGGGAACCCCCCGCGGCAACTAAAATTCCACTGCCGGTGCGCCGTGTCCTCCACACTGAAACTTCGTGTTTCAATTTTGAACACAATATTTGGCAGCCAAAAGGAATTTGGCCGATATTCATTTTAGATAATTCCACAGAATAGTTTTGCTCTAGATAGCACACAAGAAAACAACTCATTGTTAGCCTTGTCCTCATTTGTGTAGCATGAAGTACTAGTTCACACTAGGTCTGACCCCAAAAGTCACAACAATTGCGCCATACTGCAAGCTACAGCAGTCTAACAAGTCAACATAAGTTTGCAGCTACTGTTTTTAACAAACTTTCTTTGCATTCAAGGATCATGGTTAAGTTTATATTAAAGAGCAGAGAGCTTTTTGTATTGAGCATTACTTTGCCTCCAACTCGTCATCTCTGACATTTTGTAAGTTTCGCACAGGGCATGGAAAAAAGGTTAACTGCCCTCATGACCTTTTTTGATGTCATGGATAGAGATGTTCCACCAGTTTGAATCTATAGAGAGAATTGGAACTACAAATTCCTAGAAAAAAAGACCACTACTGTTCGTGGTTCCTGGATCGTCTTGAAAAGCGTGAACATTTCCTCAATGACATTTGTTTCAGTGGCAAAGCCCATTTCTAGGGGCTCTCATGGTCGAGAGATTATGGCGTTTGCCTTTCATTCAATAGGTTCTGGGTTTGAATCCGAATAGAAACGGAAAATTTTCTTCTCTAAAATTGTCTCCTTTCATCTCCTTTCCTGCTCTCTAACAATGTTCTGTCGTCTCTTTTTGTCTCCACTTTCTGCACCCACCCCACCTCCTTTGCCTCCCTCTTCTGGGCCTTGGCTCCTTCTTACTGCTGTCTTTCAGTCACACCCCTGGTCTTATGGTGTGTAAAATCTAGTATCTAACCTTCTCCAATAAGGGCAAAAAATGTGTGCAAGTTGCGCACATTAAAGATCCCTTGGTGGTCCAAAATTGATAAGAGTAGGCTTTGATTGCCCATTTTCACCTTTCAGGATACATTTTCTCCAAAAATGCTGTCTATTGGAAAAAAGCCAAGGCAACCAAAACACGAGAAGACATTGAAAACTACCAGGAGGCGTCTAAAAGAGAACCACAATGAGTTCTTGAATGTATGTGGGAGACTGGTTAGTTTGACCTTTGAAGCATAGTAGGGCTAACTTAAATTTGATTCTCGTTTTCAGTGGAAGCCAATGGAGCTCTTTACGGAGCGGAGTCACATGATGGCGTTTTGATTGTGTTCACAATTGAAGTTATAACATTAATAACATCATCAATATGACTGTCAGTAGGTATTGGGTCTAAATGACAGGATTTTGGCGGGCATTCCATGACAGTGTCTTTCACAAATTCACGACTAACTGACTTGAGTGCATATATATGGAATGAATTTCATGTCAGACAGCTCAAAGAACACAAAGTAATCTGAGCATAAAATGGTGGTTTGTATGAGTCTGAAGACTTTGAAGTGAAAGAAATCAATTGCCACTGCATAGCTCACAAAAGCAAAAAATTGCAGCTTGTGAAAGGGAATGATTTAATCCACAGGACCAAATACACTGAACCTTGTTTAATGAATTCTGCTTACTTTGAAGTTTGGATTTCATTATCCTCTCTGCATTCAATTGCTCCCTGAGATCTCTCATTTCGTCTATGAGGGCTGCTTCTCTCTCATGGCCAGGCCGTTTGGCCCATTCTGTTTTTAGCTGGTTTCCAGTATCATTAGTCTGAACAAGACACAAAAACATAAACAAAATATGACTGAAAAGGCTAAAAAGTAAGAACTATCAGAAAGTAGCAAAAATAATATTGATAAAATAGCAAAATTAAAAATGTTCTTTTTAATCTCATATCTTGATGCTGTGAAGCACAAGGCGGCTATCCCGAAAAATGCTGTTTTGAGAAAATTGAAGGTAAAATGTTTGCCCCTTGTTCTGTTTCTTCAAAAGACAAGGAGAGTTTTCTCTATAACCAAACAAATATACACACCAATGAAACCAAACTTCCCATATAGGTAGGGCAATGCCCACTTTTGTTGTAGGAGAAGATTTCTGGAAACCCACGAAATCTAGTTACCCCGCTTGTCCTTAAAAGTGACCATATATGCTTTGCCTAAAAAGAAAAGAAGCTTTTACAGCCTCCTATTTCACGAGTATCTGTGAACTGCAGCATAACACATGTTGTTCGGGCAATTGATAAATTTACGGTGTTCTTAATTGGACTTTGTGCTCTTTTCATTGGGATTTTAGTTATTTCCTTACAATTTTAAGACTAACAAAAGTTGATTAATCACACAGAAATTTTACATTAAGTACAAATGGGAATAAAGCAAAGTATTTGTAAAAATTCATCTGTGGAGATTATGAATTGCAGTGCTGGAATGTTCGCACCATTTATGAAGCAGGAAAGAGTTCTCAAGTGGCACAACAGATGAAGAGATATATGCTGCACAAACTAGGAGTCAGCGAAACCCACTGGATACAGTCTGAACAGAAGCAGCACAGCTCGGGGGAACAAATATTGTATTCTGGGAGGGAGTTGGAATTATTTTGAGCAAGTATGCACAGAGGTCACTTAGAGGATGGGAACCACAAGGGGAGGGGATCATCATGGCTTCCTTCACTACAAAGAGTAAGAGCATCAACATGAACATAGTTCAGATCTACGCCCCAACAAATGAAGCTTCGGATGAGGACAAGGATGTTTTTACAGCCGGCTCCAGGGGGTCATCGACAAACTACCAAGGAAGGAAGTCAACATCATAATGGGAGATGCCAATGCCAAGAGGATCCAGGTTTTCCTGAACAAGTGTCTGATGAAGCTACTGAAGATCAGATGAATGGACAAGATCACCAATGAGGAAGTATTAAGAAGAACGAGACAGAGCCCAGTCAGAGATGCGGTGGGAAGAAGGCGTTGGCGATGGATTGGACACACTTTAAGGAAGTCAAGCAGCTGCATGACAACAAAGAAAGTGTTAGATTGGAACCCACAGGGTAAAAGGTCAAGGGGAAGACCATGTGGAACCTGGAGAAGAGTAACGGAAATGGATGTACAGAAAAGTGGGAAGACATGGAGTGACATCAAGAGACTAGCCCAGGATAGGGAAAGGTGGAAAATGTTTGTTCATGGCCTATATCCTGATCCAGGGCGAGAAAGGCAATGATGATGATGATGACATTGGGCAGGTGTGACCAGCGTGGTTTGGGGCTGTTCAAATACAATTTTACACCTCTTTTGGGACTTTAGC